AAAAACATACATATACATACATATACATACATATACATACATATACATACATACATACATACATACATACATACATACATACATACAGACAGACAGACAGACAGACAGACAGACAGACAGACATACACTCAAAAATAGATATATATATATATATATGCACACACATACTTGCTTTTTTATTGCATGTACTTATTATTTTTGCTATTTATGTACTTTGCGCATACACTTTGTTGATTTACCCACAGTTGTCTGTTTATACTTGTGTATAACTATGTATACAGATGCATGTGTTAAGCTGTGCACACCTCTTGCATTTCATGCACCAGTGAGAGCTGGCCTTCGAATGCAGACCCTGGTCGAAGCGGTGGCAGCTCGGGCATGCTAGCCGGCGCAATGGCGCCTCTTGCACAGTTTCAGGAGGACGGAATCACTTCAGACTGTCAAGTGGCGTCCCTGAACCTTAGAACTGTTCTTTTGAGCCCTGCCAGGAGCCGCACTCAGGAAGGTGTCCGAACTGAGCTCGTAGTCGGCGTCCGTAAGTGCCGACTGCAAACCCATGGTGCAGTGACAAAAAAGCTCTGACCATCTGTGCTTTACATGATTGCCTCAACACCCCATCAGAACCGGTCATAAGCAATTTCTAATCCACGGCGGGGTCGCAAGCTTTTTCCAGTTGATGTTCACCAACCCGTTGCTCCTGCAGGAGAGCAGCGCCAACTTTTCCAGTTTTCGCGAGAAAAGTCCGTGGCCTGGGCGGCAGCGCCCCGATCTTTGGCACCGGACCCGGTGCTGGCGCCTCTCTGGGAATAAAAGAACAGAAAGTCTCAGACTCTTTCTGCGGAGCCCCAAACGGCCTTGGCCTTGGCCTTGGGGGGTGGCGGACCCCTGGCTTTTGCCTGTCAGACTTCGATTCCGCCGTCGATTCTCTCCCATGGACTTTGACGGACAAATTTGCGAATCTTGCAGATTCGAATCCAAGCGCAGGCAACATCAAACTTGCATCGTTCGTACGAATACCGACAACAGCGCCCAGTTTTGATCCGCGCTATCACTCTCGCGATCCCGAAGCGATCAACATCTGGAAGGTCTCCGTACGCCCGGCATCTTCCCAACCTGCCCAGCCGGAAAATCATTATGTACGTGAGCGAGGATGCATAAATCCACGCATCTCGGTTTCCCTGTCTGGGTCAGGTGCACCTTCTGCCCGAGCTTTCTCGAAGGGCGCTCGGTGAACCTTCCATCAGTGCATGGAATGGTCAGAAATGCAGAATCCTCCCAATGTCTAAACATGTTAGAGTGCACCAGGATGCCGTTGCTGCCTCTACATTCTGCAGCCCTGCCGAAGTGAGCCACCCGTGCAGTGCATCCGCTTCCAGACCTTGGCTGCATCCCTTCCCGATGGTCAGGTTGCATGGTCTTCCCTGTCCGCCCTCTTTGACGTTAATGCAATGTCGACAAGACACCGTCGTGCTCGTAGTGATCACCTCTCGTTTCCGACTTCTTGTGGAAAAGGCGTGCATTCTCAGTGGCCTCTCAGCTAAGACAAGGTTAAGCAGTGGCCACTGCACTCCTGACCTGTTTTGTCTTGATCGGCCTCAAAATCGATGACGACAATCCGGCCGCTGGGTCTTGGAACGATCGAATCTCATGCTAGGGAGCCATATCCTGCCCCGGCTACTCGAGCTTACGGTGCCTAGCCAGGGACACGGAGCTTTCCGCTTCCGCACTGCTTGCAGTCCGAAGGGGCGAGAGATGCGTTGCCAGCTCGCGGAGCTGAGCTTCACAGTCGCGGATGTGATGGATGCAGAGCAGGCCTTGGCAGAGGAGTTTACGGGGCTAGCCCCTCGCCTTGAGAGGTGGGCGCTGCTTGCAAGGTGCTCACGATCGTGTCGAAGCTTCCCAAGACGTTCAAGGGCCCCGGAGTGGCAACCATCTTGGCGCTCAGGCCAGCTATCTCAATCTTCTCCTCCAGGACACTTCGACTAGAGGTGCGAAGCCCGGTCGGTGCATATGTCCTGCATGACCTTGCGCATGCCTGAGGATGCATCCTGAACACGCGGTGTGTTGGCAGAAGACCGAACATACGGCTGCTGCCAGGCCACCAATCCCGTGACGTGACTCCAGCTCTCTTTCAGCTCAAAGGACAGCAGTCCTCGCTGCCAGCAACACAAAATATGTCAGTCTGCGCTACGCACCGGGCCTGTGCCAGACCCGAAATCAAGGCACTTGCCCATGGCCTCCGAAGATGGAAGTCTGCCAGATGGCTAGATGACGCAGCGCTAAAACGGACAGCCCAGGCTGAACCCGAGCCCGCTTGGATCTACAGGAACAGACTTCGAAGGAGGCACCAGGCACATGAACAGTGGAGTGCATGCTCGGCAGATGTGAACACGGCCGGCCAGGAAACCATCGAGTGCCGGCACAGGTGAGACTGCCCCGGCACATTTAGCTACTCACTGAAACCTGCTGATGAAGGGCGGCCCAGTGAATCTCTGATTCCGATCGAAGCACCAGTTGCAAGCCGGCCTCGTGTCCCTTTCGGAACCAAGGACGTCGGCGGATCTGATCGCCCACCCAAGCCTAAGAGCCCAGCTCGCTGCCAGTTTGTCTTCTGGGGGTCTGGGGCACTAAACCGATGCCTCTCCTGAGCCTGAGAGCCTCTCGTCCTCTCTCAGCCCGACAGAGCATTCTTGAAGTCGCGGTGCCACTCGCTGCAGCTTCTCGGGGGTGTCCCAGCTTGTCGCTCTTGCGTCAAAGCTGCTGTGGCCTGAAGTGGATTTCAGATCGGATCTACGGCAACGCATGCAGATGACCCCTTGCCCCTCGCATCTCAATGGCAAGCCATCTTGGCCAAGAGTCCTCGTTCGCATGCATGGGCGAGCTGCTTGGCCTTGAAGTGTCTAAGTCCACCCCCCGAATGGAGCGGACTGCGGATTTGAAGCTCGCTGGCTTGGCCTGCTTCAAGCTGGTTCTTCGCGCAACCGCCGCCAGATGCTGCAGACCCATGGCTGGAACAGGCACTGGCGGCATTCCCAAAGTCCTAAAGTTAACCTAAAACCTGTGGTGTCTGCGACTTGCATTGCACTGTGCTGCACACTGCAGCGCATTTCTGCATGCCACCGAACTCTTTGATTCTGCTGGCAGGCGACACCGTGACACTGACTCATGGTAAGACAGCCGACAGCATCTAAGTGCATCAACCAGTGCACCTTGCCTTGGGGGGTGGCGGCGGTGGGGCCCGCGGAGAGGCCACGGCGGTGCCCACGGAGCGCCCCGTGGAGGGCGTCGAGTCCGAGGGCACCGAGGGCACCGAGGGCGCCGAGGGCGCCGAGGCAGCAGAAGCGGCAGCGGAGGCAGCGTTTCCGGGCGCCGCGGCGGGCAGCCTTCGTCTCTGATGCTTGTCAAAGGCTGGGCCAAGACGATTGCCCTTAGATCCCAGCGATGCTGCCGCCTTAGCTTCCTGGCACAAAGCAACAGCACTCGGAGACTGTTTGTGGAGCTTAAACTTCGACTTATAAGAAGCTCCTCTTCCGCCTTTTCCAAAGCTGCGACCTGTAAGACGGCTCGACTCGGCTTCCCACAAGCGGTTAAACACCACACCTCCTCGCGGAGCTGCTGCAGCTCCGCCTCCTGAGTCTCCTGTGCGCATCGCACGATGACACGAAAGCAAAAAGCGAAAACCGGAGGGCGACCACCCCTGCATGCCACCCTGCTGCGCACCCCGCTGGCCTTGCTGGTGCCCTGCGCATGCTGCAGCTCTGCCTGCATCGCACGCACGATGCCCTGAACATTGCACATCACTGCACCTGTAGCCGGAGGAGCTCGCGCTCCGCGGGACAGAACTGCTGCGAAAATGAAAGGCGCCGTCCTCCGAAAAAGCTCCAGCTTCGAATTGGCCAAAAGTGAAACCGTCCGGCCCGAACCTCGATCGCCTAACTTCGTAGCGGTCTCTTGAAGTCGATGGCGCCACCTGGCGCAAGGAACTGGACAGGAACGGGTAGAGGTCTCTCGTGTTTGGGCTCAACCGTAGCTTCCAGATACTCACGGTCCCGGCGCACAACAGCACACATGACACCAAGAAACGGCCAGCCCACTGTCTTCCGCCAAGCTGGAGGTCTTGTAACTCTGCCTGGAAGCTTGATGAACGTGAAGTCTTCAAGCTCTGCGCCCGCTCCATGATTTCATTTTGGGAGGATCACGAGACCATACCCAGGAAACCTGCCTGGAGTTCCTGCAGGAACTCCTCACCCTCGCCGAGTGGTGGCAGTCCGTTCTCCTGAGAGCACGAGAATAAAATTGGGGTTTCCCCACCTGTGTCGCGCTGTCCAAAGAAGATGAAGGGCAGTCCTCCAGCCTTTTCTCTAGTACTTGCCGCTGCTGCCTGCTCGAGCATGGCATCAAGAATCTTGTGTTCGTCTTTCAGCAGCAAGGTCCCATCCCAACCTCAGGCTCGCCTGCCTGTCTTGAAGCCTTAGCGACTGCACGTTTGACACGAAAGCGTTGACTTCACGACGTCCCTTTCGCATTTTCTGCCCCGACGAGCTTCTGAGCCCGCAGCGCACATCTGAGCACCGCAAAGCGATGAGGAGGGCCAAGCTTGCGGAGGGCCTCCAGAAGGGATGAGATGGAACACCCTGGCACATCCAAGGCGACATTTGAGTCCTGCCTCCCGCGCAAAGCGTAGCCAGTTCCTGCAAATGGCTACGAAGAGCATGGTCAGCAATGTCGGGACTACAAGAGACTTGAATCATTTACGGCAAGGGAACTCCATCGCTCAGTCTTAAGGCTCCTTTCTTGGAGTATTTTGGCGGCATGTTTCTCTAGCTCTTTCGGGTCAGGAAAACTCAAGCTGGGCAACCTCCCCAGGTGCCCCGGGGCCACCTCTGTGCCGGCGCCCGTGCTGCAGCGCAGAGCTCCTGAAGCTCTGCCTCGAGAGCTGCCACTCGCGCGGCCGCCTGGTGGGGTTCGGGTTCGGATTGCTGAGCTACCAGGCTGAGCTGCGTCATGGGACTCTGTTTAGAACTGCTCGTTTTCGAATTGCCTCGTCCTCCTCTTCCTCCATCCTGCTGGCATAAGCTAAATACTAAAGCCCTATAGTATCGTGAGGATGCTAAGACTTCACTCGTCTACCTTCAGACAGATTCACCCGCTGAAAGCGACCTCCTACCGCATATCTTGGACCGAGGCACACAGTGTCGGTACACTTCATGAGCGAGCATGGGCTCTGCATGCGCAGGTCACACACGCATTACAGAAGCTGCATTTTGCCTCCCAAGCTCGATGTCTTCGCGAAGAAGGCACTGTCCAAGCACGCTCTGCTCCGGTTGGAGTCAAGGGCCGGCGGCGCTTGCCGTGTTTTCTTGAAAGCTCACTTCGCCATGATCTGTTCTGATGGATAGTTGGGGCACAAGCTGCAGGCCTGTGAAGCCGCTGCCAGTTGCAGGAAGCTTAAAATTCTGGCTGCAACTTTCGACGAGTGGTAGACACTACCCTGAGGATAATTTGCCCAGATGTCATGGACATCCTTCAGATCTCCAGGGGTACCAGGATTCAGTCAACATCTCACGCGAGGCAAGCAGCCCGCAACCGTCCTGGCAATGAAAGTTCACCCATGCGTCTGTGGATGCTGACATCGTCTCCGCTGTTACGATGTCCAATTTCACTGCTGCTGGATGCCTGCGCACAGGCCAGAGAGCAGGGAGGCAACCTGGAGACAAGCGATGTCAGGCAGAATTTGGCACCGATGGTACTGGGCGACATCCAGCCTCGTGCAATCGCTGCGTGTCGATAGGAGGGTCGGAGGGCTCCTGCCCAGCACGGTTACGAGAGAGGGTGACATAGTACTGGTCCTTTTAATACTATAGTTGCTATAGCAACTCTTCTGCTCGCGCAGGCCATCCTTCTCGGACTCGTTGTATTGCGACGCCTGGCTAGTTTTGGTCAGTGCTCTCAAAAGGAGTCTCTGCGCGGTCGCACCCCGTACCCACACGTCGGATGAAGGCAAGACTGAATCGGAACAGCGTGAAGAGTCACCCAAGCGATGAGGGCCTCCAGCATCATGCGCTCGCAAGCCTCTCGCCCGACAGAAAACTGCAACTCTCTGTGCACTGCACAATGCGCACACCGACGGGACGGGGATGTCTTATGTTTCTTTCAGGTCCTCCACAGCAGCTGCGCAGGCACGCGCCGAAAGGAAGTCGAGGTCCGCACGGCCTTCCTGAAATTGCAACAGAACTACACGAGGGGACGGTGGGGTGAAATCAAAAAAGACTGAGACGCCACCTCGAAGATGGCCTTGAGTCCGGCCATGCGGAGGTGGGACGTTGCCGGCTCCTCAAACCCAAACGAGAAGGGGTGGACACTTCGCCTGCAGCAACACAGCTCGTAGAATCCGTGTCCTCTCCCAGGCGTTTCAACAAAGCCTCGGGCTTTTCAAGCTTTTGAGAGCATGTACAGAGATCTTCGCTCTTTGCAGTGGCCTCGACCCCAGAAATCTGCGCGGAGACCGCGGCAGCATCCTGCGAAGTTGCCGAGCGCAGAATCCGGCGACGAGTGGGCCCAAAGCCCCATGCCAGCTGCACGGCCTCTAGCATCTGCATCGCATCTTCGTAGTGAGAGAAGTAGCCGAAAGCCTGTCACTGGAAAATTGGGCTACCAACCACAGCAGATGAATCAAGCGACAAGCCTGCTCTATGCAGTCCACCGCGCCCTCTCGCTGCAGTGAAGCCACGATGACCTCAAAAGTGCCCGGTATCTGCGCATCGATCCAGACCCTGATCCACTCCATTGCCCAGATGCCTCTGCCCCCTTCGCGTCCGGGCGCTTTTTGCACCTGACACACCGATGAAGCCTCTCCCCGTTTTGCAGAATCGGCTGGGATGCAGTGCCCTTAAACCTCTCGATCTCACGACCTCCACCTTCAGGGTGAAAACTCAGACAGCATTCCACTGTGGCCGCCGTAATTGCCACGACGAACATCATCATTCTCGGCCCTGGCCTTTGGTCGTATATACACACACATACATATATATATATATATAGATATACATATATATATATGTATTATATTTATGTATTTAGCTGTATTTATTTATACCTATACAAATACACACATAGAAAGAACAAACAGGCGCGCGGAACAATAGACTCCCAACCTGGCGAGGTCGCAGAAGGCTCTCAGTGCAGCCACTGCCCCACTGATCACATCCATCCTTCGTGACAGAGCAGGTAGACTTCAAATCAATCGGACCCCCAGTCGTATCACTTCTCCGGACATGAGGCAAGGACCTCTATGACACAACAAAAGGCTTGTTCCCGACTAGAAACACAGCCACGAAGTGAGTGGGTTCGAGACGAACAGTCCTCCGTGGGAACCGCCGCGATCCAGTAAGCACCTCAGACCCGTGATAGGGCTGTGAGAAAAGATGGTAGCTCCGATCTCCACAGCTCTGAATCAGAGCGGGGTTGGGGTGAACAGCCGTGTTGAGCGTAAGCGGGGCCTCACGAGACCGCACCATTTTCTGGCGAGCTGTACCCTGGCCACCAAGGGTTACATATCCTGCGCTATGTGGCGTTGAGAGTAGATGCATCCTGGTTTGTCTTTTCGTCGGCATGAGAGACATTGAAATGCCAAGGCAGTCAACCATACAAATCATATAACGACCATGCCAGTCGGAGCTACCGACCAGCAGTGTCAACCCGATGTCCACCTAGAACACTCAGGCGCTCCAATATGCTCTACAGGTTCTACTGCATCAAGAGCTTGATGTCAACTTACGGAGTGAATTCGGAGGTCTGGTCCGTGGTGTGCAGAACTGAACTAATGCAGCAAGAAGCAGATTGCACAGCTAAGGCTCAGAAGTGATCTCGCCTGCACCGGGTACCGAATGGGTCTGAGTCCGAACTGGGCCTGGGTTCAGGGGAGAACGGGGGGCGTCGAGGCCCAGCTGGGCGCCGCACAGCGACAATGGCCGCCGGCGCCACCGCTTGCAGCGAGGCCTTGGAGAGGCCGCACGTTTGTACACTCCACCCCAGAAATGGGGAGCAAGTAATGTACACACACACACACGCACCATCTTCGCTGACTGATGTGTCCAATCTTTGTGCCGATGCTACGTGCTGGCACATGCAAGTCGGCAAGCATTTGTGGACATGTCGCGGACAAGCCTCGGATTGCCTCAAAACAAGGCGACATGTCCGCATGCAAATGCTCTTGCATCTCTACCGATGTCCTGGCGTTGTGGATCGAGCTTCCAAGCTCGAAGTTGCAATCTGGCATGTTGCACGAAATCTGAACTGCCAGAGCAGGACCACTGTTGATCCAGTATCGTCTGAGAAAGCAGTTGATTTCCGTTTGATTTCGGTCTTGTCACTTCTTCAAAACAGTTGGTTCTCCGTGTTGGACCAGGCACCGCTTTGCTTCTTCACTTAGAAGACGCTTCCTTGAGCCCAGTGCAGCTCTGGCACTGGCACTCGTTCCATCCTAGATATGAGTCTATCCATTCGGGGGACCTCCTCATCCAGAGTTCCAGCGACGCACGCTGTGGGCCCGGGCATACTCTACAAAGGGCACCAAGAAGCTGATGCAAGTGGCCCCCCTGGCTTGAACCTGGCAGGGATCAGAGGAACTGAAAACGGCGTCCGCAGTGCGCAGGCCGCAGGGCCTCGGGAGCTGCAGGATGGAGCCGCATCGCCTCCACGATCAAGGCCACGAGGGCGGGCATCTCAGCCTGCAGGGAAGCCCAAAAACTTTCCCGGGCATGCGGCAGGAACCCTTATAGGCGACCTAGCACCACTGCACACAAGGGCGCCTCCCCGCGATCGGTACCAGCCAAGGTGTACTCCCCTGCACATCACAGACTTGCATTCCGGGGTCGTCATGTGCAAGCACGCGAGGTGCGTCAGCTGTCTTGGGGCTAGCAGCTGACACACGCGCTGTCACCGGCTAACTGCGAGCAGTGTGCCATCGATGTCTTCGTCCAGGATGTCAATAACCGTGCACAGAGCCGCATCCACCTGCCACGCCCAGCAAGCAAGGGCTCCAGAGCTGAGAGACAGGCCGGTATCGCGGCTGAGATGCAGTTGATGTGCAGCTTGAGCTCGGCGGCCTGAGCTTGAGAACTCGCATTCTCCGCGAAAGGACTTGAAGGCACCAGGCAGCATGCACTCGGCTTCCAAAGCAACTTCCAAAGGGCGCACAAAGCTGCCAAGCATGAATCTTTACAAGAACGACATCAAATCTGCAGCTGAGGGTCTACAAATGGCATCCCCGACAGCGCAGCTGCCGCCCAGAACAGATACTGAAGGACAGTTCACAAGAAGGTCAGCACGAAGCACCTTTCCACCGCAGTGTCCTTGTTAAACTTCCGTCCAGCCGTGCCAGATCGAATCCACGCGACGATCGCCTTGGTCGCGGCACACTTAGTATAGCTACAGTCCGACATCAGCGCCGATCTGAAAGGCCCTGAGTTAAAGGAAAGCTTCCCCAAGTGCAGAGCCTCCATGGCGTAGCCATGGAGCACAGGTCTCCATTCCGCGGTGGTGAGCGCGATGCGGCCGATCGCCTCAGAGCGCAAGAGCCCTGCGACGAAGCGGGGCTGTCGGCCCTGTTCCGACCTCGGCAGCTGCCTGCGCTGCGCCCGAAGATGGCGAGGACCTATTGATTTCTCATTGACTCATTGTTTGTGCACCCTTGTGTCAACATGACGACACGAGATGATCGCAACTCACGGCCCCTCTTTCCGTGAAACAAGCTCGAGGCACGTTAGCCTTCGGCCGAAAGCCTTTCCTGTCCTTGTCTTTTGCCTACCAAAGCGCTCTGCCCCCTCTCTCGTCCAGCAGTCACGCGATGACTTGCAATTTAAAGTTGTTCATTTGCTGGAGATCTGGACTTCGCGGTTCAGACAGGGGACTCTCTGCCAAGCAAAAAGCATTGCCCTCAGGGCCTACCTTCACAGCTACTACTTGCAGGACATGGCTTCCCCAAGCACCTACAAAAAGGCTCTTGGTCCCACCTGGTTGGACCTATTGAAAAGGCACTTGGGTGCGTCTGGAACATTTTTTGTATCGCCTTGATCGTCTAAAAAGTACATGAAGCTAGAGCTGCAGCTCGTGCAATGACCTGTGGGATGCCACGCCCAAAGCTTCGAGTGTGAAGGGAAGTGATGCTGCCTGCACTGCCCCGTTCGGCAAACTAGGATGGCGCGTCACATAGTCACAAAAAGCATTAGTATCTCGGCTCATCGGAACTCAACACCGGCATTTAGAGGCAGCTCTCCAACAGTCAGCTGTATGATACACGAGCAGTGTCGCAGCTCCACGCAGAGAAGTTAGCATGTTGCCACACAAACATACATGTTTCCGAAGAATGGAACAATAAGCAACGAGGCTGCAAGACCAAGCTCGCACCCTACGGAAAACTTTCGGCATGTTTCCGGAGATCCGAAGCTCCGGAGACTGTCACCCTTCGATCCTTTAGATAACGGTTGTACATTTGCCAAGCTTGGTGCGATTGGGTTGAAGCTTCCTGTGGAAGGCTCGATTATGTTGTCCCAGAGTGTGCTTGGAAACCTGACAGACACCGACGACCTACGACAAATCACCAGATCCTACGTCGCACTTTTCAAACACTCGCACCAAGCCACAGATGCAAAAGCGATCTGGAAGGCGAGAAATCCTACTCCAGGGTTGCAAGCGAATCGCGTTTTAGCGCTTGAAACACTCCCTGTCGTATGCTCGGAGAGTTCCTTTAGGATCCTTTCCTTCCAGCGTTCCGAGAGACCGCTGAATTTTTGAGAAAGCTGAGCCGAACCTGCACTGTGTTGTCGGTCACACGTCCTATTACGTCCCAGCTTCCTATGCAGTTCGCACTGCTCAGAGCCAGCAACTCACATGGTCATGTGTGAGTTCACCCAGGCTCGTTTGAAGCCCTCGGATGTCTTCTCAGTGCAGATGTTGACCTGACAGACTTCGGGTAGCCATCGCCTAGCGTTGCACGTGAAGCAGAAGCTTGCGGCGTCTTCCTGCAGCCCCGCACGTTAAGTTTGTCCCGGCCTCTTATCGGCGATCCTGGAAGTTAGCGACGTAGCCCTTGACAGTCTGGTGCAGGCCTCCGCAGAAAGAAACTCTCAGGCATCACAAACACTTGCGGCGTGTGCGAAAGCTGGGGGCCCCAAGGTTTAGCAGAGACAGTCTTGATGGCCACTTATGCCGACCCCTAGCACCACATCACCCCAATTGTCTTCCCCTTGCAATTCAGCGGCTCATCGCCGAATCCATTGCCCTGGCGTGTGCCTGCAGGGCATGGGCATGTACCCCAAAACACCCGGTAACCAGAAATTTGGGAAGCATGCGGCCTTGCTCAGCATGTCCGATGCATCGAAGCCGGTGTCGCTGCAGTAGCCCAGGTTGCTGTGCACCTGGGGATGCCGCAAAACTTTGGAACGGAGTGCAGCCGTTCGAGTCATGGTCTGTGCTGCCGGGTCAACTGAGTGAGTGAGTGAGTGAGTGAGTGAGTGAGAGTGAGTGAGTGAGTGAGTGAGTGAGTGAGAGTGAGTGAGTGAGTGAGTGAGAGTGAGTGAGTGAGTGAGTGAGTGAGTGAGTGAGCGAGTGAGCGAGTG